GGGGACAGACGTAGGGAAAGAATTATTAGCCTATAGAGTAGGTCTATCTATCTGACTTCGTGTTTCAACTTCTCCTTCTCCAATCCAGCTGCTGCTGAACACAGCAATCACCACCCTATGCCAACTGCCTATTTCCATTCTGTTTGCTTCTTTCCTACCCCTCTCCTTCCACTGCAGAATATCTGCAGCCATCTCCCGTTTTGCGCTGTTCTCCCCCAAACAGCAGCAACTCATCATCCACACCCATGGATTCTGATTCCTTCCTGAATCTCCTTTCCTTGAACACAGTGCAGAAGTGACTTTGGTACTCCACATCTGTGGACAAAAGACAGGAGTCTTCTCTTTGAAAAACTTTTATTAGGCATTGCTAGATGACGCTGCATGATGTATCACACACATCATGCGGTAAATAGCACTCCACAGTGATCACACAACAGCACACACAGTGACAATCAGAACAGTTTGATTCCCATTAGAGTTTTCACCCAAGTCGAGTGTCTTTATTTATGTTCACCCATGAGATCTGATCTCATGATTAAAACTGCCCTCCCATTCCAAAGCAACTAATCAAAAACAATTTTTTAAAAAAGCCCAACCATAACACAAGGCCACAGATACGTTACTGAAATTCCAGAATTAGACCCCACAATATCACATGGTATCCACACTTTGCAAGACTTGTCCCTAACGTGTGTGTGATCTGACACTTGGCTTGTTTTTACCACGAGCAACAAGATGGTACTTACTAAAGTACACTGCCACATACCACTGGAAATTCTTGAGGTAATAGCAATTTCACTGTTTAAAAAAACCTGTTAATTTCTAGGTCCTATCCAGCAGGACCTATCTGTTGGCAGAACATTCTTTTTTATTTTTCTGTGTCAAATATTTACACATATTTGCATATACAACTTGTGTCTCCGTTTTTCTAAGCACATGGTTTATTTTAATCATTCATCATACATTCATCAGGAAAAGTTCAATTATATACTATGGTACACAGAGTACAACAAAACCAGCATTCCACATAAAGCAAAACCAAAGGCACAAATCAAGAAGAATGATAAAAAATGGTTTGATGCTGATAAAGCACACTGCAAATGAGTTAGACATGAATTTGCAAATAATATGGTATATGGAAATTTATTACTCATAAAATATTTCCAAAGACAAGCTGGACAGAATTGTTCAAGTTCCTGTAGAATCACATAGTTACTTTTATTTTCAATGATTTCTGAAACGTAATTGTGTTTAATTGGACCTATTGATAAGCCTGATAAGCATTCCAATTCCTGTCTCAAACTCACTCAGCATTCTTCTTCATGGTCTTAAAATACATCTCAAGTTCAACGTTTTCAATTTCTGTATTTAATTTCTACGTTCAAACATTAGCTTAAGAATGAACAATTAATTTAGGTAACGCACGCTGGCTAGCCTGCTGCTCCAGAGGTCATACAGTAGATCAGGGTAGCAAACACAGTCCACATACATCCCTAAAGATGCACTGTCTCATCACCACTTTTTAAATAGACGGGGGTCAAAGAACACTCACAAAAAATATATATGGCTCTTTAGATAAGAAATAAAGTCAAGTGAAAAAAATAAGGCACTAATAACATATATAAATGTTATATACTCATCACACAAAGCACCGTATGGAAGGTTAAGGGACTACATGTGAGAGCTATTGGAAAATGAGACTAAGCCCAGTTGCCCTGGCTTTTATTCACCCATTTCTTCTTTTCTTTTCAGTAATTAGTGTAGAACTATTAAAGTGGTGAGTGAAGTTATATACGAGGCAGAATTGATACAACCAACAGTATGAAATAATCACTGGGAAATAAAGTGATTATTCTGATGATGTAAGAAATTAGGTCTTTTAAATACTCCTTATTTTCCAACATTTTTATCTCAGGTGAATTTGCTTTTTCTTCTCCAATTTCTTTTCGGAGATCTTTTCATAGTAACATTGTCCATCTTCTTATTTTATTTCCATTTGCTTCTTCCTTAAAATACATTCAAAATAGTTCTTGCCAAAATGTTTTATAAATATCAAAGTGAATAATATTAATGCAGTGGAGAAAGAGTTAAATACAAAAATTAAAGAAATCTCTTCAATCAGGCTCATTTTAAATATGAAAACATACACATAGTTTGGAAAATGGCTACTAAATTTACAGGCAACTTTATGCAATATAATGATATGGACAAAGTCTGGCATGAGCAACTAGTGCAAGTTACTCATCTTAGAATTAAGAAATTTCTTTTCATTTGATATTAGTGAAAATATAGTTCCAATGAAATATATTCTGATATTTAAACTGAAATATATTTGATGACAATTAGTTGGTAGAAGTTAAATTTCTGACTATATAATAACAGACGGAAGACCCAACTGCTTTCACACTGCTTTGAAAAGAAAAATGTGAGTAACTGTCCTGCAGTTTTGTCATAGATATATTTGTTCCATGAAACTGTCTAATCAATTTGGTTTGAAAGAGAAACAACTAATTCTTATGGCTCCTTAGTATTAGGCTAGTATAACTTAGTAACTTGGTAACACTGCTGTTTTTGTGTTTATTCCAGTTGTTTCTGTGAGCTCGCAGAATTTGCTACTTCATATGTTAACAATTGCTTTCATAAGCGGGTAGATTGTCAATTACTTTCAAATTAAAAATCTGTAATCGATTGTCTTTGTCAAGGTAAAGGGATTTCATATGAAGTATCAGGTTAGTCTATTTTCCTTAATAACATCTACAGAATTTATGATGAAGATGGTTAAAACAATACGGTCAAACAATAAAAGTAAGCTGTCAGAGAGCTATCACATAGCACTTAAAGAATGGCTTTAGCAAAAGGATGTATAGTCAGCTGCTAAAAATCATGACACTTTATAAGGAATTTATTTATAAAGAAACATAAAGCATGCTAACTTTTAAAAGGCTGAAAAATTTGATATGTATATAAAATATTCTCTTACTATTTCTTTGGAGGAAATAGTAATAGTATATTGGATACAGAGGAACTAATGTGTTAGTGAAAAATTGTTATTTTTAGTAATTTGACTAGATTACTGAGAAATTCCCCCAGTGCGTCTGGGATACACATGTCACAAATGCGGAGGGAACAGATGACTGGTATCACAAGGAGAACCTGATATGAGATTATTTTAACAATTTCTAGGGCCTTTTAACACCCACATATGATGCTCTTGTCAACTTTTTTGTGGTACGTATTAGTCCTACACTAAACCTGTCTTGAGTGTGGCTTATGCCTACAGCACATCAGTGAAAAAGCTGAACATTTACAAATGGCAAATGGTAGCTCTGAATAGGGTTTGCATCAGTTCCATTCAATGGGATCTCTTTTAGATTATCAAGAAGTCTAATGATGTTTACAGCATATGAATCTGTAGTTGAAACCTATATACAAATGCTACATTGGATAAACCTACCCCAAGTCCAAGCTGTAGGACTTTTTGCTGAAACAGAGCAATCACAAAACTACCACCTATCTTCGATGAGGGTAAATGACTTGGTGTTAAGGTTGAATGAGTGTCCACACAAGCTTCCTGCCCAACCAATATGCAAACGCAGTGTTACCTCAGATTAATCGTGGAGCAAATTCTGAAGCCTGGTTCTATAGTACTGCTAGGCCCTCTGATTTCACTTACTTTGTGGCAGAGAGCTAAGCAGAGTCCTTTAACTTCTACCAAGAAGAGGGAAAAGTGCTTCAGGCGTTCCTGATACGTCTTAATTTACAGACAAAACGAAGACAAATTACACTCACTACCAGAGTTAAATTATGGAGTCTGGTCAATGTGGGATTTCATCAGAGGGGAAGGAGTAGGTGGTGAGATAATTTAATCCTCACTTGGCCAAGATATGAAGGGAACCTCAGGGGCAGAAAACAGGACAGAAATCTAAGACTGGGAAACAGGTTCTTGATGTTGAAGTATGTGTGGATCACTGCAGAGGCCAGGAAAAAAGTCACTGAATATTCACAGCAGAACAGAGTGACAAAAACGTGGCACAGGATTGAAAAACAAAAAATGTTACCTATGTTAATAAGCCTGTGCCATTCAGGTGACTCAGAGTTAAATGCAAGGAGTGAAATTTTAGACGGTAAATGGCAGTGGCAAAGAAAGGCAGTGGCGATGATTTGTGTATTTTTAAAAATGTACTGCATTGTAAGCTCAAGTTATTTTATTCTCAGTCACATTTTGGCCAGAAGAAAATAATATAGTTTCTAAAATGGGCCATTACGTGCTTCTAACATTGGCCTTCCGTGCAAGAATCTGTAGGACACGTGACATGTTACAGCCTCAGCTATTCCACCAGTGACAATGACAACGACAGCGGTATCCCACCCCTGTGCGTCTCACACTCCCGAGTGCGTTTGCTGGACCTGGAAAAGCCAGGCTCCGGCCACAAGGCAGTGACGCAGAGCGCAAGTCCTGCCTGGTACTCATTTCTGTCCTCAGATTCAGAGCTACAAAGTCAGACGCACTCTGCATTTCTCTCTGAAAGGTTTATACCACTGTTTTGCATACAAAAGCAACACTTCACATCTCAGACATTTCCTAAATTTTGGAACCGATTCTGTTTAGACCACACTTTTATGATTATACAAAGTTATTTCAGTTTCATCAAAGTAATAATTGTAGATATACATATTAGAATGTGGTTCTGGAACTCAGTTTCCCAATTAGGAAGGAAAATATCATTTTAAATTATGAGTGGAAGGGGCTGGGGATTTAGCTCAGCGGCACAGTGCCTGCCTGGTAAGCGCAAGGTTGTGGGTTCAATTCCCGGTACCGGAAAAAAACCAGAAAAAAAAAAAAAGTTATGAGTTGAAACGTATAAAATATGCTTAAATGGTCTTGATTTCCCATGTTTCTGGACAGGGAAATTTCTTTTAATAAAATTTGTGAACTATGTAAATGCAATTAAAAACTTTACTTGAAATCAACAGTGTTTTAAACAAATATCCCAACAGAGTTATTAGTTAATAATATTTATTAAGTATTAGTCATTAAATTTGAGCTCCAGACTTTTCATAAGCAGTTTCTGGATTACTATCACTTTACAAAGTGCTGCATTTTTTCCAGGTACATTTTACTGTTTTCAAATTTTTAGCTACTGAGTCCCCACAAATTTGAAGGGATGAACAAATATTTCAAAACACTTTCACTCCACTCTATTGAAATATACACATTAGCTGCTTTAAGTGTGTCACTAAGGTATTTAATGGCACGAGTATTTTAAAGTGTATTATGGACTTTTAAAGCTGTATGTATAATAAACAGTAACATAAAAAAATGGAGCTGACCACAGAGAAAATGACTTTTAATAGCAGGGATGGACTGCAGCCACACACACACAGAAGGATAAGCAAGTTATCCAATGTGAACGCTCACACTCTAGGAATGTGTCTGCTTCCTCATAAAGCTAAAGCCTCAAATGGCTTTTGGTATGAACGTTCTTGCTTTTGTACTTAAGCTCACCAACGACTCTCATTTAGACCACTAGCATTTTTATAAACTCATCAGGCAGCATAAAAGTCAAATGTTAAGAACAACTGCATCGTTTAGCAAGAGAGAGGGTGGGATGCTGCAGCCTATGCGCTCAGATGTGACCAGCGTCAGGGGCCACTCCCACGCCACTGTGGCGAGAAGAGCAGTTAGAATAGCAGAGGCGTGGAGAAGGACAAAGTTGGGTAGACACAGGCATTTTATGGGCACAGTGTGTCATACACTAGGGCAGTGGGATTGAAAGCTAAAGGGTCAGCGAGGGTGCGCGACCCAAGCAGCGCTGCCACAGAGCAAGGGACACCCTGACAGGCTCCGCTGAATCTTGATCCCACAGTACGAAGGTGCAAGTAAAGGTATCGTGTTGTAGCCTGGCTGGTGTTTAATTGTCTGTTCTCCTCTCGGGACACAATAGCACCTGTTGGAAAAATCAAGGCGGTGGTAACAGGATGCTGCCCGCACCACCGGGTGGCCCTGTCCTCTTCTGACGCCTTCGCCAGCAATCCCTCGGGAGGAGGAGTGAGCGCTCATTACAGAATGAGTGCCTCAGGCTGTTTCCTAATTCACAATCGTCCAGGTGAGCTTACAGAATCTCCTCTTCCGTGGGCTGCTGTGGGCGTCTGTAATCGTGAACATACCGTCTCCTGCTTTTCTCAAGTTCCTGTGCGGCGTAACACGCGTGGGCTTGGACAGCGCTTTTCAAGATGTGATGAGAACCATCAATTTGGCGTGAGCGCTCATTTAATTCCATCACATTTGAAGAGTGGGCAATCCAAAAATCAATTCATCCTTCTCACTTTATCTGAGAGATGTTTTATTTTTGTTGAAAAACGGTAATTTTCTTATATATGTTTTGGCAAGGTACTTATTTGGCAAATCAAGCAAGGAGGAAGTCATCCTTTCCACGATGCTGTTCTTTAAAACTTACACACTCCCTGTACAATCTTTCTTTTATTCCTACACCCTTTCTTTTATTATGAAATACATTTATTTCTATGCCTTCATTTCCTGAAAATGCATTTTTTGTTAAAAATATCAGATAAAAGCCAGATTTAAAAACTTACGGGTGTGCTCACATGAGGTGAAAAATATATAGAAAAAGGGTCTTCACTGTACTTTGTAAGACAGATGTGAAAACAATCTTGATGCCTGTTAAGTCAATTAAAGTATGGTCCTACAATGGAGCATGCAGTAACTTACAAAAGAATGAGGTAAATGTATATAAACTCTTATAGAAAGGTATCTATTAATGTATAATAAAATGAAAAAGAGTCACAGCAAAGTAAAAAAGTTATCATTCTATTAGTATAAAACTAATAAACACGATGCACGCACACAACACACACATTTACTTGTAAATGTTTAGAAAGTGTCTGGAAGAGCACATACAAACCATGAACAGTGGCTACCCCTATAAAATAAGGGGTGGGGTAAACAGGAATTTCTTACTTCATAATTCTATATGTAGTTTGATTTTTAAGGGAGCATATATTAAATTTATAATAAAAACATATAAAACTAACAAGCCTTGGATAGAAAGATATTTATTTACTGTGCACACATTTGTTTCTAAAGTAGTTTTCAGAATTTACCCTAATAAAGTTACTACTATTGTTTTATCTTCAAAGTTGGCACTGACATATAAATACTCCTTTTTTTTGTCTCTCTTTTAAAGATCTTGAAACTCAGTAAAAAGAATTCACAAAGAACTACTTTAAATTACCAGCAGAGAAAAGCCTAATACCTATCAACCTTTAATGAGAAAAATGCACATATTTATTTTAAAAATCTACGCAATAGAAAAATGAAAATCCCATGCAATAGAGGGCACTGCCTCTCACGCACTGTGGAGACAGCCTTGACTGGGAACACACAGCGCTTTGGAATTGGCATATTGGAAAGTTTTCCAAATCATATAAAAATAGGTCTAAAAGATAAGTTATCCGAAGAAAGGAATAAAAATCCCTGAGTAGGCCAAAGACAAACAGACAAAATAACCTAAGAAAATAGATGATCTAGGACCAGAGTATATTTTCAGCTACTTGGCATATAAGGACGTGGTGTAGATATTTTTATGCTACAGAGATACACAGATACACTAGAGTGGGAAGTTGTCATATTCATACACTGCCAAACCAATACCTAAAACCAGAAAAGATGAATTTCAAAAGATTAAGTACTTCTATGACAGAAATATGTATTTGGGCTAGAGATTCATTCTTGTGGTCTAACAGTACAGCACCCACCTACAACACGCACTCAGAAAATAGCCGTCGAATGGATGGGCAGATGAACAATTTGTGAATGACAGTCTCTCTTCTCCTCTCCTGTTTTGCTTCAGAAATACGCTATTCCTGAGACACAGGTGCCACACCCTTCTCTACCTGCAAACAGACAATCAGCCCAGAAGCTGTGACACTACGTGGTGTGACTCAAAAAAAACGCAGCGTGCTGGCTTGTGAACCATGAGTAACCTTGACTGTCAGGGGCTGGAAGGGCAGTGAAAACTGAAAAAACATTTTAACACTCAGGAGCGCAAGGAAGAGGAACCTATTCGTGTTAATGCACATGTTACCACAGAATCTATCTCAAGTCTGATGAGGCTGCGGACACATTAACCATACTCCTATGCAGCGGTTAATTTGGAGATTCTACAGACAACTGCGAACTTTTGGGTTCTTAGGGTTGTCTTCTCCCAGCAGAAGCTGTCGGAGTTTGCTGATGAAAACAAAAGCATGTAAAAGTTTCATTAATTGTCCTTTTATTTTCAGACTTCATACCTTAGAAAATGTCCTGAAAGTATTTTTTAATTTTTTTGTGTGTTTCCTTCTCTAAAACTAGTTTATATTTTAAGTGAATCTGTGAACAAAGAAAAATTTGTTTTTAAATTACCCACCAAAAAAAGATCCCCCAGGTTATTACGCACTTGAGCAGTAAACATAGGGAAAATCCTTGAAGACTAATATTTGTTTGCATGAAACTCGGGAACAAATAAAAAAAACAGAAAGAGAAAAGGGGGGCGTATTAAATAATTTAAAATCTTGACCTAAAGCGAAGTTCCCTGTAATTACAAGTTGGTAATTTAAAAAACAGTGGAATAGAGCTATAGCAAACTTGTTCTCTGGACTAAATAATCTGAATTAAATAATCTGAAATAATCTGAATAATGTGAAGTATTTATTCATAGAGGAGAGCATTTATGCTAAAATATAAGATATCTGAAAAGACTATCTGGGCCTTGAGAACTTCCTAAAAGCATCCTCTCTGTGTTCTCAGTTTACAATAGAGAGGGTCACCATGGAAACAGCCCGTTGTCTACACTGGCTTTAATTCACTCCTTTCCCAAATTACACCCCCAACAGGACCAGCATCTTTAAACAGGTCTAAGCATGTAAAAACAGTGTAGAGGTATGGACATAGATAAGCACGAGGTTATTGAGCTCACTTTTAATATATACTTATATACACACACATCCAAAACCCTACACACACACACTTCAGTGACTTGTGATTTTTCCCATTAATTTAGTTTCATTAGTTCCCTTTTGGGTATGGAAATTTCTAGCAATGACAGTATCTGAAGGATGAAGGAATTCTACTGCTTGGGCCACAAATGGGAACAGACGCTTTCAGTGAACTTGTGTGTTCTGAAAAGCAGCCTCACTTCTGGGGGACAGACAGGACGTCGTCACTATTCACATCAAGTCTCACAGACAGGCGGGAGGGTTCAGGGTTCAAAGACAGTCCCAGCCGCGCTCAGGAGGCGCGCCACCCTCAGAGCAATTCTGAGGAGAACTGGTTCTTAATTAAAATATTTTCTTCCAACAACCACGAAGATCAGAGTTATGATACAGGTACTTAGAGTTTATGAAAGTGACCGTTTTTAAAAAGCAGCAATTTGTTTAGGGAAAGGGCGGGATACCATGGTGGGAGTGCACCGTAGCTAGAGCATTGGGGTCGCAGAGGACCACGGAGATGATGGCAGCAGGCTCCTCCCAGGGTGGCTCCGGGGTGAGTCACAGACCTGGGCCATCCCGCAGGCCGGCCGACTCCGCTGAGTCATCTGCGCTCCACTAGTCCATGCCTGTTCGTGACCGCTTTCTCTGTTTTTTACAAAGGCAATAGATGGGAAATACAAATAAACCTAGGGATAAAACATAAAGATGGGTAATTAGGAGAGACATTTAGGTTTAAATCTTTGAAAATTTCCACATTAGTTTATCTGCAAACTCTTTGGAAATGATCATTATCTAGCACTGCACAGGGGAGAGAGAAGATACCTACATAAAATTTCATGCTGTTATAAAACCGCATCCTTTGTTACTTCGCTTTAGCTCCCTTTCCTGTTTAACACCCTCGGCGATACCAGTTTAAATATGGAAGAGCACTTCCTGCCAAGCTATCAAGCCTCAAGCGTAAGCCCCGTGATCTGCAGTCACGCCGTGTGCAGGCTGCACTGTTCACACTCTGCTGCTTTGGGCAGTGTCGCCTCTTACTCAGGAATATGGACTGTGGCGCCACATGTCAGCCTAGTCCCAGTTTTTACGGCTTATGACACCCAGTGAGCCTTAATTTCCTCATGTGTGAAATGCAGATAATAATATCTACTAGAAAAAGTCCCGACTTACGGCAAGAGGGTCACTGTCAGGTACTTTGTAATTCTACCTGCCCTGTCTGGCGTTAGTTGCTACATAGTTTGCAGGCAAGAATCATTTTAGCCAAAAATATCCCATCTGCTATATAGAACCATCACCAAAGCGGCCACTGGCCAAGTGTGGTCCTCGGACCTTGGGACTGCAGCAGACCGGCCTGAGAACTTTCTAGAAATGCAGATTCCCAGACCAGATCCCACACTGAGTCAGGAATGGTGGGTGGGGAGCAGTGATGTGTTTCAACCAGCCCCGTGGTTATTCCAAAGTGTGCTAAGATCTGTCAACTACTGCTTTAAAATATATATTTTAATATGCTTGTATACATAAAATTATACAAAAATTATTGATAAGATTTCTACTGGTCCACGTGCAAGTGTATGCTGGGTGTCTGAACCTGTGGTATATTACAGGTGTCCTTTTCATACAAGATGCCTTTCCCTAGACCAACACAAACACTCAGTGGTATAAGACAGCCTCTTTGATGGTCCGGCTTGAACCCAGAATTGAAAAATTGGAAGTCTAGTTCACTTGAGTTTTTCACTAAGTACCAGCTGCATTAACTTGGTAGTAAGAGTTAGCTAATACCATAATGCTTTGGAATACACACAAATCGAAGTATCCACAGGCTGTTAAGGGTCACACATCTCTAAGGAACATGCTCCTCTGAACTTCTAAATCACAGACTGGGTAGCTGTCTAGAGCATGCATGGGACAGAAGCCATGATCCCTCAATAAACGATCACTACCCTGACATTTACACTCACACTGCCTACGGCCCCAGAGATCCCAATCTCAGATCCATGACGTGTTTCTTACCGATTACAACCGCTATGGCCCCTAGTGCTAATCCCAAAACCAGGATTAGAGGTGCGATGAATAACTTTCCAGCTGGAAAACAAAGGAAAACATGAAGAGCCTCCGAACGAATTTACTGTTGATAGCAATACTTTCAAACGCCACAGCAAATGCTATTTTTTAATAAGTTGGGTTACAATTAAGGCCACATTTCTCTAAGAAACGTACTGAACACAGGTGCACACACGTAAGTTCACGGATCTTCACTAAGGAACAATCGTGAAGTGTGCACAGGTGTCAGGCACCTCATAAACCACTTATTCTGTGTCACTAAACGGTATTCCAAGGTGACTGGCTCGATTTATTCTACCAAGAACAATTGTTTTGGGGCTTTTCTCTTAGGTCTCTTTCATTTTTAGTTTTCAAGATGTTGAAGGATTATGCAAAGACTAGTGCATTTGAGCTGGTAGGGACAAAACCTGGCTGACTCACAAAGTGGACAGCTGTTCATGTTTGCATCTCTGTCTCTGTCTCCGTGCATGAGGCTGTGTTTCTGAAGAACCAGGGGTAAAAAGCCAGCCCACAGAAGCATTTCCCCTTGGGTAATTAAACATGGGTATGTGTGTCTGGGGGCTGCTGGTGCTCATTGCCTTAACTGCTCATTATTCATGATTAATACATGAGAAAAATATACGCAATGATACCAACTGTACAGATACAGTGGGACTCCACTACAAGACTCTGAAGCATGTGTAGTGCTGTTTTTTCTTTCTGGTCTGTCTGGGCCGTGGTCCATGTTGTATGGTGCTGCAGGAGGTTCATGAACGGAATGAGGCTGCATGTAAAACATGCTCCTAGATGCTGCCCATAGGAGAATCAGTGAGACACTATTCCTCTTATCAAGCAGCTTACAGCAGGGCTTCAGAAATTTGAAAGACTAATGACTTCAAATTTTCAAGTTTTAAAAGTATTTTTGTTTTTGCTTTGCTTTTGAGATGGGGATCTTAGTGTATTGCCCAGGTCAGTCTCAAATTCTGGAACTCAAGCAACCCTCCTGCCTCAACTTCCCAGAAGCTGGGATGACAGGTGGCTAGGCTCTCAAGTTTGATGAGACAGACAGACAAAAAGAGTCAGAGAGAGACAGAGAGAGAGAGAGAGAGAGAGAGAGAGAGAGAGAGAGAGAGAGAGAGAGAGAGAAAACTTCTCCTGCTTTGGGATAAAGGCCCTACTAGAATACCCAGAACATAGCAAATGTTCAAAATCCAAGTTCGATTATCACTCCTTCATTCATTCTTAGGGAAGATTCCCATAAGCATGTCAGACACTCACCACAGACTGACCCTCGCACTAATCTCCGTAAGTGAGGTCGCTCTGGGAGGTAGCGATATTTGCATCCAAATATGCTGAGGTTTGATGTGTGGTCTCCAAAAAACCGGAGCTGGCGGTATCTCTCCCCACACCGATAGCAAAAATTAGTGTTACACTGTGAACAGGTCATGTGGTCACACCCTTCCGTTTTCTGGATGTGGATCTGTATTGGAGAAAAGAGAAAAGAAGGCTATGAAAGTTCTTAGAAAGTGAAGTCTGGTGCATTTTATGGAACAGCACTTAACAAGTTTCACCAAAATGAAAGTCTTGGGTGGTTCTCCCAGGCTGTCGATTTGCTTATCATTACAACCTCCAAGACTTGAGTCTTACCTAATATTTTTGTGTGTGCAAAGTACAGTAACATTTCACATAGTCATGGTGTTGGCTCGTGCTGACCGGGATACAAACGAACACCTACCAGGGAAGAGCCATGTGTCCTTCCTGACATACATCTAACTCAGTGGCTAGGAGACAGTGCAGAATACTGGGGAGGTGTACTTTCCTTAAGCTGTAATCAGCATGGTTGACTGATGGGTGACTCGGAATACGGAGAGATGGAGGGTGATTCCTAAGACAGGGGGTCATGTGAAACTTTCATAAATGTCAAGGGGCAGAAATCTCCCTGCTGTAGGACACAGGATAGCGGGTATACATGCATATGCAATACTACCTCATGTCTAACTACAGAATGATTTGAAAATACACAGTTTACAGGATCCTGTCTACAATGCTCTCCCTGCAACCAAGCATCTTTCTCTGCCACAGCCCAGTTGCCCACAACTGAAGCTTCACCCCATGTAACAAGGACTGCGCTCCTGGATGACCTTTCTTAGACCCGAGGTGAGGACACTGTCTCAAGCCCTCGGGTCACATAATAATCCCAGTACTGCTCCTTGAAATAGAACCGTGTGCTCCACAGAGTCCTCGTGGATGTTCTGTACAAACTGGAGTCATCTTGCACTCAAATACATGCACACTGTTAGATGAATGACAGATGTAACACTGACATTATCTCATCAGCAGAAAAGCACTTTGGGGACACGCAAGTTCTCAGGTGAATGGAGTGGGGCCCGCTATGGTCTTTCCATGTTGCTACCAAGTAGGTGCTTAGCACAGGGGGTCGCATCTCTATTTGTTCACAACTATTTCCAATGAGTGCACTTGAATACCATTCCATTACAGTAATAAATGCATACAATGGAGCACACATGTCTTATATATGCATGTGTGTGTATATATAAATATATTATTTTGCTTAGAAATTTTATTTCATACTGTAAGCTTCTACACACGATGTTGCCTAATAACTGTGCAACAGTGAATGCTTCCGTACAACTGTGAACTGTACGATTAACACTAGAGTCAGACCTTCCAGAGTTTGTCTGACTCCTCATGATGCCTGGCCAGAGTTTACAATTTTATATCTCATTTGTAGTTATGCTCTTCTTCGCCTAACACACAGTGTGATTCTGTGAACTCTGGCAGAAACGTAGTCATAACTGCATTTTTAAAAAAGCTGGTCAGTGATTACAGGGATAAAATCACCTGGAAAGAAAGGCTTTCTTGTGAGGAGGGAAATTAAAAGGTTGAGAGAAGAAGAAAATTACTCTGAAACATATGCTTATTACACAGGTTTGGGGAATGTAAATTTTTGAAATTGTTAACTCCAGACCATATGCAGCATTTCAGTTTTATGATTAAGCTGTATTAACATTTTTAAACTTTTATTAGTCCATGTTTGCAGTACGTAACGATTATATTCATTGCAGAGAGCTGGTACATGCACATGACACACCTTACTTCTTTTTACATCCCCTTAAACTCCAATGTAAAGAAACAAGAACTTGAACAGCACTGCGAGACCGTAAAATAACAGCAGACATTACCCAGAGTAGTGGTGAAACCTTCCTTTGAAAAATCCCTGTACACATGGGTCTGTTTGTCTATCATCATCTACCTACCTACTCATCTGAACAGTCTGCAGCGGGTTATAACAATTTGAAAGAAGTAACAAAGAAAGGGCAGCATATTACAGCTAAGTACTTACTGCTCAGATAAACCAAGGAACCAAGAGAGAAAGGCCTGGCAAGCGACTGGAAGGACCTTAGGTATTCTGAACTGTGGAGTGAATTGTGTTTAAAGGTGGGCTTGGGCCTGGTGGCTGAGTAGCTCTTCAAAGGTGAGCTGAACTTGTAAGGAAGCTGAGAGCATGGTCTTGGAATTCAGGAGGCCTTTGTTTTAGGTCTAGCTCCATTAGCTGCTTAAAGCCAAGAGTTAAAATTGATACAGTGTCAACTTGAGAAGTCTAGAAGCTTAACTAAGTAACTCAGCAGTTCTATATCCTGGACTGTAGAGGACAGGCCCTTAAGCTCTAGGATGTTGTGTCAACTTGAGAAGTTTAGAAATTTAAGTGACTCAGCAGGGGGCCAGGGTCCTCAGTCTGTAAGCATCCTCAACTTGTGCAAGAGGAGGGCATGGAGATGGTGTGAGTGCTACACCCATGCTGGGGGGTGGTAGGCTGTTTACAGGATAAGGGAGGGAAAGAGGCTTGCCCTTCTCCCTTTTTGCTCTTGCTGCTTTTGCTGTCTTCTGCAGCCTTGAACTGCTGTCCCTGTGTCATGCCACCCTGCCTTGGAGTCAGCTGATTATGGACTGAAACCTCCACAAACTGTGAGCTAAATAAACCTTTCCTTCCTTAATTTGGGGAATTAGGTATTTTGTCTCAGCAATGAGAGAAAAGTAATCAAGATACCAAGTTGCTTCCCTTCTCCCAAGCAACAATTTTTTTTTTTTTTTTTTTTGGTTTTTCTCCGGTACCGGGAACTGAACTCACGACCTTGCGCTTGCCAGGCAGGCGCTTTTGCTGCTGAGCTAAATCCCCAGCCCCTCCCAAGCAACAATTTCAATGATGCTCCTTTGCACACAGTGTAAAATATAATAGCTTGGAGCTTGGCACATACCGAGTCAGATTACTATAAAGTCAGTTCCAATCTTCCCTTCCCCCTTCCCCACTTACAAATGTGAGGAAAGAAGCCCCTGGATAATGGAGCTGCAAGCCCCTTCCTTTTTGGGTGATCCTCTTTCTCCCTTTTTTGGCTGGTGTTGGACCAGGCAGCACCTCCCAGATAGGTCTGAGCTAGCTTGTAGCCAAGGAACCCGCGCCTCTGCTGCAGGCTTACCAAGGAATCATGACGTGGGCTGTTACGACTGTGTCTAGTTGTTCCCTCAAAGCCTCTTGTGCTCGTAGATGGGGCTTTTCAGAGCTGGCAAGATCTAGGATGTGTGATATTTGGATTAAGATTGTGGTGCTAAAGCAGTCCACTGATTGGAATTAGCATAGTTCTGCGTGTAGGTGGCACCACCCGAAAGGTGTGTAGCCTGGATGTGATAAAAAGGCAAAGAGGAGGTTTGGATCTCCTGCCTTCTGCCCACCAGACCATGTAATGGGCCTCCTCTGTGATGCTCCTGTGCCCTGCTGCCCTGCCTAGGAGCCAGCTGACTGTGGACAGAACTCTCTACTGTGAGCTGAAATAAACCTTCCCTCCTTTAACTTGTGGGTATTGGGTAGTTTGTCCCAGCAATGAAAAAAGTAACTAAGACATGGGCAATAAAAGCAAAATTTACATTGCTCATTACCTTTTCCTTTTACAGTCATATGGATTTTTTTTTCGTTTACATGATGGTCTAGTGGCAGGGAATCCTGTTTCATGGGGGTGTAGATTATTACATTTAAGGGGCTTTCTTTAAAGAAAAGAATGTAAATCACAAATAAAAATGACACACCAGGGCCTAAGAAGGGGCCCATGCAGCTGAGGGCCTCTGAAACTTAACCCCTTCGCCTGCCTGCCGAATCAGCCCCTACTTCCGCTCCTCTAGCGCTGCTCATCACGTTACCCAGCACGTTAGCAGCATGGATGGTATCGAGGAGAAACAGAGGCCAAAGCCCTGTCGGGAGACGGCACATTTGCAGAAGCACTGAGCATCAAAACACTCTACCACTGAGAATACACTGCATTTGATCTTAGGATGCAAACAGCGTCCCTTACTGAACTCCCTGATGATGCAGCAGCAGTGTATGTGATTTACAAGGGGAAGAGGACTAATGTTTGTGTAGAGCCCTCCGCACGCTCGATACCGCACACAGATCAGCACTCTTAAGCCTTGTAACTGCACCAGGGGATTGGCCTTTTTAAATGCTTAAAAATCTTTTAATGTAACACACGTAGATATTAGTAACAAAAATGTAAGAAAGCACTCTTCTACAAAAAATTTGCATAATAAAACAACTAGAGAATAACAATAGCTCATACACCGTGCACCATTAACAGAATGGCCAAAATGTTACCACAGACACACAGAAGGGAAGCGCAAGGCAGAACAGACTGGCATTCTCACAGCCAGAGCTCGGCTTAGCAGCGTGCCTGAGCTGCGACCCCAGAAAGTGGAGGATGAATGCTGAACTCTGTTTATTATGCTAAGAGCGTCTCACGATGGAGTTAAAGGCAGAGCCAGAGGCCAAGCCTGTTCTGGGTGAACCAAGGCCCGATGTCTACTCCAGTCAGCCGGACAGCGGCAGTGAGCACTTCTACCCACTTCTGCCGCTCTGCTCTGGGACAATCCACCTTCTCCCTTCCGCCATCAAAACTTCTTCTGACAGGAAGATCACGCCTCTAAAATTTGTGACTGATGCGACAGCACATTTGCCTTAAAATTTCGCATACAATTTTAACTGTCATTTTATGTCAGACTGTAATGTTGCTTCATTTCATTCTAAAATCTTTATGTGGTCTATTGATTATTTCATTTAACTACTGAAGGCTCCAGTTAAGTCTTCTCTTATTAATATAAAATTTGGCACACAGCTGGCAGCTGAAGCACTATTGATCAAGTAACATTTCTGTAGAGGAACTGAAAAACTGTAAGCTCTGAAAATGCGCTATAGCAATCTTGAATATGACAGGGTCAAATGGTTCTAAGGATTAATCTGAATATTTTATACTCATAACAGCATGGGAATTATATTATAATTTACCAACCTCTAGTGCACATGCTTCCTTTATTACCTTTAGTACATTGTTAATATCTCGTGGTTACATACAAGTACTTTATTTCTTGACACAGAGAAATAAACTGGCAATGCAATTTGATGTTCACGGGAGACGT